AGATTTTGTAGTTATTACCAGCATATCATAGCATAATGCATATATGCATATTATCTATCTGTAAATGCTAGGAGAGATACGGACTCATATATATAGCAGCTCAATATAGAGCTTGGATATGGTTTCAAGAGTTTTTCGAGCTTGCTTGGAAATAACTGACCTTTCAATTTTGCAGCTCTATGTGGTTAGCATATATAAATGACTTCGTATTTGGACGTATATATAATTAAGAAATTAGAACTTGCTATGTAGAAGGTGTTTGCTAAGTGACACACACAAACACACACACACACAAAAAGAAGAAGAGAGATTGTGTGGTTGAAATTTATTTTAAGAGTGATTCACAACATATCCAAGATGAATCTTTTGTCGTACAATATATTTTTATGTACATATCTTTGAATTTTAATTACGTGCTCTATCTGGTATTTTTGTTGGCAAGGCCTTGAAAATTGTTTTTGTGTGTTTTCAAAAATAAAAAAACATAGAAAATTTTGAAAAGATTCATCGTTTTCATTTTTTTCTTGGCAAATTTTCTTTTTTAAAAAAAAAATTTGAGTGGTTCCAAAAAAAAACAAAAAAAAAAACAAGGGAGTTATTTCAAGAACCTCAATTTTAAATTTCTATTTTGTTATTTCTTTAACACTGGAAATAATTTCAAATTTACCCCCACAATCCTTTTTTTTTAATCGACAAATTAAAACCTTTATTGATAAACAAAGAACTCATTACATCAAGAAAAGAAAAAATATGGATCCCAACTAGGTTGGCAATAATATGACTACCCAATCCCTTACTAGTATACCATTAGAAAAGTTGGTGAATTACCAACCAAAGCCAAGCAAAAACAACAATTGACATACCCCCACCAACCCTTTAACCACTAGTTGTCATCCCAGGCACTGAAGCCAACCAACCACCTCTCCCTTCCTTCCTTGATGCTTGCTAACCCCTTGCATTTCTTTGTTGCCACCTATAATCCCTTCCTCAACACCAACTATCACCCCTTACAACACACCTACCACTCCATCTCCTTTCTTCCCCTCCTTGCTTCCCTCTCATTACCCAAAAGCCCCATTTCCCTTCCATTTGCGAACTCCAAATCCCATACCCTCCTCTCCCAACCCCAATGCCTCTTGTTTCATTACCCAACCTTGACCACTTAACACCATTGATTTGTAGAGTTTAGAGAGAGAGAGAGAGAGAGAGAGTTGAATAGAACATAGATCTAAATATTGGTTAGTATTCGTACCGAAAAATCAAAGCACCGATTTGAATATGGATCGGTATAGCGGTGAGAATGAAAATTGGAGCCATGGCATCCGAATCCCTGTACGTAGTGGCCTGAATCTGATACGTGGGGCGATATAGTCCGATACAGGTTAGTTGTCACTGGTACGAATGAAAATTAGCGTAGAGAACCTAGAAGATCTAAGCTTCTTTGGGCTGTGGAGTTTGCTTCAACCTTCAAGCTTCTTGAAAGAAGGTTTGTCCCTGAGTTGCAAGTTGTAATTTGTGCTGTCAACACTTGTGCTCTATTTTTGGTGAGTTGTTGTGCTATGCTCTGTTTTCTGCTTTACATTTCATTCCTCTCCCCCCTGCCTTTTGTGTGTACGTGTGTGTATGTGTGTCTTGTTTTAGTGTAAATGTTTAGGTTTTTTTTTTCTCCCTATTTATTTGTTTATACACCTACACTACACCTCTATTTATATTTATATATATATATATATATATGTTGAGTGAGCAAGGGGAAAAAAAAACAAGAAAAATAAATATTCAAATCAAGATCTGTCAAAAGTTTGCACAAAGAAGGTTAGTGGAAAGGTTTGTTATTGTTCATTGTACATTGTTCATTGTTTTTTATTTTTTTATATTTTTATTTGTGTCTTGCTTTGGTGTAAATGCTTAAGATTTAGATATTTATTTATTTTTTATTTTTATTTTTTTATTTTTTTATTTTAAGTAAAGAGGTTTATTCCAATAAGATTTTTGATTTTTGATTTTAAATGTATTATTGTTACTAAGTAAATTAGAATTACAATATTTGTCAATTGAAAACTGTTATTGTAGATAATTGAAAGTTATAATTGAGACTCAAATAAATACATATCATTTAGTTAAAAATGAGTTGAAAGTGCTCATACATATCAAAATTTTGATTAAAATGTGACAAGTTAAGGCTAAAAGAGTAAAAAAAAAAATGCATAAAATTGAGTTTTAAAGGGATTGCTAATGATTTTTAAAATTTCATGACCGTGACACCCAATTCCCGATACGTACTAGCCGATACTACCAACTCCGATACTCCGCGATTGATACCGTTACGTTACTTGATACTGCGATTTAGAACTATGGCATAGAAGGTAAATGGAAATAAGAAGAGGTGTTGATTTTGATTTTTTTTTTTATCAGCAAAAGAAAATTTATTAATGAAAATCAGATGTACAAAATACAAAGATGAACATCAATAAAGAAAGGCGAGTGCCAAAAGCATCAAAGCAAACTAGACAATTCCAACTAGGTTGGGACCAGAAAGAAAGCTAATCATCTACTAGTACTACACCATGGCTGGACAGAAACCAACCAAACAAACAAAAAGCAAAGGAAATAATAACCACCCAAAACACCGATCTTAACGGTCCATCTACACCTCATACCAAATAAAATCCTGTTCCAATTCAGATCCTCAAAACAAACAATCACCTTAAACCAATACCCCATCTCTTGAATTTTGGAAGTACCAATGATGCTTTCAGTAACTTCTTTTTCCTTTCTTTATTCATTTCACTTGCATTGTTGGGATATGAGGCCTTATGAACACCTCCACCCTCATACCTCTTAGAAGATTCCTCAATCTTGATCGAATTGCTACTCACTATCGAAATAGAAGACTTTTCAACAACGCCAGCCCTTTGCACTACTCCTTTTGGCCCAAAAGAGAAAAGTGAACTTGACTCCTAGGATACTTGCATAATCTTATTTTTTTCCAATAGGAACTCTAAGATCTATAGCAGTGGATTTAGGCCTCCAAAATAATGAATGAACATGCCCATATTTATGTTGTGGGCCAAGCACACTCCTTAAATTAAGAGATTTCATTTGCACCAAGTTTAGCACAGATCCTCCATAAAAAACATTTCTCTTTACACACTGATTGCTGGTTGATGATGACTCATTTGATTTGTTTGAGTTCGAAGAAAGCACCATTTTTTTGTCTCCAAACTCTTTTTTCCCCATTAATAGAGATTTGATCTTTCCCTGCACTAAATTTGAGTGCCATATCTTCATGAAAATCAAAGGTTTCACATATCCTAATAGGGTATATGCTTCCTTTATACTCCAAACTTATCAGTGTATTTATAGGCTTCATGTTATTTGTTATCAATCTGACCTTGTCATACTCAAGAGAATCTGTATTGTTAACTTCAACAAACTGGATTACCTCACCCCACAAGCTACCAATACTTTTGAATGTGTTAGCATTCCATAAATTAAATAGAACTCCATAATAGCACAACCAACACATCTCTTCTATTTAAGATTCTTTTATTTTCTCCATTATGTTACTAAATCACACCAATCATAAACCCACCCTTTCAGTTGATCATACCTATCCTTCATAGCTTATGTAGAATTGAAGGTCAGGACTGCATTTCTACCTCTCCATTTTCTGACTAATATCTTATCACTATCTTTTCAACACATTTAACCTTTTCAAATAACTATTTTAGCTCACTAAAAAGTCATAAATAATACTTTATTGAATCAAAATTTCTCATTTATATATTTTTGTTTCAAGTGTCAACCAAACGCCGAAAAACAAAAATAAAGTTTCAACATTGTAAGGTATAGCAAATAAAAATTAACTTTGTATGAGTTAATTTCACATAAAAGTCGTACAAAGTAAAATTCACCAATAGTGTAACTAATATTTTTTATTAATTAGAAAAAATATAAGAAAATTTGAATGTGAACAACTTATCCATGACTAAAATTTAAATTTTTCTATTTTTTTCTTGCAAATTTTTCATCTTATTTAAAATGCTTGCTAGAAAATATATATTTTTTCTCTATTTAAAATATGTTTGCAAGAAAATATCATGATTCAAAGTTTAAATTATAACTTAAAAGTGAAATGAATTTTCATTATTCATACAATCTTCACAATCCAATTTTATTATGAAATTGAAACTTGAATTATTTTTTCCATAAATTCATCTTCAAAATCTAATTTCACAAACTCCAATTTTATTATAAAATTACAACTTCAAAATGCAATTTTGAAATCGCAAGTTCAAGATGCGATTTCTTTCTGCCATGTCAGCGACATGCAGACGTGTCAGGAATTTACCAAGGAGATATGTCGACATGAAATCACAGGTTCAAGTTGCGATTTTAAGATGAAAGTGGAACTTAAACCTACGATTTTATGAAAGCAATTAGTTTGATAAATAATTTCAAAAGTGTGTTATTTTCATAAATAATTTTCTTTTATGGAATATTAAGGGGAAAATAAATAAATAAATACTCTGTAACACAACTATAACCAATATTAATACATAAAGTCTATGGCATCAGAAAAATGTCAAAAAAATTACAATTAATTTCAAATCAATGATCTATATTAGAAGTGAAAAATGATTGGGAGCTCTAATGAAGGAGCTCTAATAAGCTCTAATGGGGGTGGGCCTTACTGTGATGTGATGTTTCGGCCTTGATTTTTTTTTTTTTTGTATATATATATTCTCTTCCACATCATTAGAGCTCATTAGAAGTTAGTGTTGTGGGTCTTACCCCAAATGAATCTTTAAAAAAAAAAAATTATGTGAAATTCTAGGATTTTTTTGAATTTTTTGTTTGGAAATTGTAGCATTGCTTATATTAATGAGAAGAAATTTTTTTTTTTCTGATGGAAAGAATGACGCCTGCCTGCTTGCTACGCCCTATAAAACCTACCTCAGCTTAGAAAAAACTAAACCCAACAAACAGAAAAGTTATCCATGATGCTCCATCTTCTTTCTTTGCCTCTCTTGCTTACTTTCCTACTCTTTCTTTTGGCCATTCTCAAACACTGGAGGAGAAGTAAGTCTCAACTCCTCAACAACAACACAAGATTGCCACCAAGGCCTCCAAAGCTTTCCTTTATTGGGCACTTGCACCATTTAATCGGCACTGTCCGATCCTATGTCTTGACAGACTTGGCGGAGAAATATGGACCCATTATGCATCTTCAGCTGGGAAAGCTTCTAGCTATGGTGATTTCAACAGCAAAAGTTGCAGAACAGGTTTTGAAGACCCATGAACTTAACTTCGCCCAAAGGCCTATTGTTCATGCCGTGGCGGTCATGCCATACCATGACTCCACCATCATCTTCTCTCCCTATAACGATCACTGGAGACAAATGTGAAAGATCTTCGTCACACAACTCTTATGTGTCAAGCGAATTCAATCATTGAAGCGGGTACGCGAAGAAGAGGTACATAATCTTATTGGATCCATTTCATCGTCCAAGGGCGTTCCCATCAATCTCAGCAAAGAGATTTTCAAAATGACAAACTGTTGGAACAATCTTCTATGCAAATAAATAAAATGAAAATTAAATCAAACAAAATAAATAAATAATGTACCGAATTTATTTTTTGAACGGAATTAAAAGATTCAAAGAGCAAGTCGAGTGTGTGACACTCTGTCCTTAAGACAGATTCGCCCTGCTACGGTGTTTACGGTTGAGTGGCGTCTATCTCCCAGGATACAATGATCTTCACAAATTATAGTAGCACTCCAAACAATTTGTTCGGCGAACCAAACCTGTGTTCTAACTCTCTGAATTTTATTCTAAAACTAAAATGAAGAATAATGCACCAAAGATAAAAACTAGACAGCAAGAAAATATTTCAGACCAAATTTTTTTGGGCCTCAAGACTGCTACAAAATGGCTGGTATTTATTGGCAAATAAATTTGTCCGATCAGCTATGTAAGCAGCCTGTACAGATATGAAACTGTTCTGTACAAATTCAAAATGTAAACTGGACAGACCTTGAATCTGTCTGAATTTTTTGAAACCTCTGGACAGAATTATGGATGTTTTTATCAACCCCAATCTGTAGAAACAAGTCTACAATATATAGATCGGAATAGGTACAAATTTGAAATGAACAGGTGTAAACTATTTTTGAACAGATGCAGTTATAAAACAAACAGATTTGCAGCCAGATTTTTGAATCTGTTCGGCAGTTACAAATCAGTAACTGCTGGGAAGTTATTTAGCACTGTTCAAACAGTTTAGAAAACAGAATTCGGACTGGAAGAGGCATAAAACATGGATAGAAAATTAATTCAAATATTTGGCACAAACTTTGAATTTAATTTCATTTAAAATTCAAATAAATTTTGTCCAAAAAATTAATATTAGAACTGACCCGACCCACACCCACACCCGGCCGGACGAACGGACGGCAGCACGCGCGCGTGTTGGTTTGGGCTAAGGTTCACTTTGTCCATAACTCCTCCCTTCTACAAACTTGAGGTGCCCCTTGGGGCCCAAACCAAGTGTTGTAGGCTAGAGCTTATATACACAAATAAACTCTCTTAAAGTTTCAATGTGGGACAAGCCTCACAAGGAAACCCATTTTAAAACTTTAAATGTCCATTCCACGAACCCGAAACGACGTCATGTTCCCATTCACTCATAGATGGTTTTGACGAACCGTCTTCACCGTGTGACTTGCCACGCGGCAAAGAACACTTCACCTCTTCGGACCCGCCCAAAAAGACGTTCGGGGCCCACTCAATTTTATGCTAAAAGTTGGCCCAAAATATGCCTATATTAACCATTTTTCCAACAATCCCCCACATGAATGGAATTTGACAGAGAGAAAATGCAACCACATGATCTAAGGTGCCATAGAAATCGGCTGGGGCAAAACGATAAGGTGCTATAGAAATCGGCGCTGTGCCGGGCACTAAATCAATAGAGAACTCTATCTCTCGGTGAGGTGGCAAACTAACGAGATCGTCGGGAAAAACATCTGAATACTCACAAACCACCCTCGGCAATACAATCTGGGTCTCATCACACTCACCACTCAAAAAGCTAGCAAGTAGACCACTAAGCTCACTCCGCCCTCAC